AGTTTATTCGTTGCCAAGAAACTATAAACAATCCGAATGACACTCATGGTTCCAGAGATTCATAGATCTAGTAAGAGTAAACTCATACTCGAATACAGCATCTTATAGTTTATTCGTTGCCAAGAAACTATAAACAATCCGAATGACAGTCAGGGTTCCAGAGATTCATAGATCTAGTAAGAGTAAACTCATACTCGAATACAGCATCTTATAGTTTATTCGTTGCCAAGAAACTATAAAGAATTAAAATAAAGCTTATGATTCCTCTGATTCATAGATCTAGTAACAGAAAACTCAAATCACCTTATTTGACGAAAATCATGTCATTAACGAAGCCAAGTCCGTTGCTGAATGCTTTAATGAATATTTTTGCAATGCAATTAAGCAAGACACCCAAGATCTAACGATCGATGATATGGACACTCACTCTAGTGCTTTATCTATACGTGACAGGGAACACTTAAATGAATTTTTCTTTACTCCGGTCGACACAGAATATGTAAAAACATCCTGGAACATTTAAATCCGAGGAAATCTGTTGGAATGGATGGCATATCATCGCGCCTACTACGATCGTTCGCCCCAAGTATTGCAGGCGAGGTTACTAAGCTTATAAATCACCTAATAATTACTCAGTCTCTGCCCAGAGAGTGGAAGAGCAGCAACATTACACCAATACATGAAAAACCGATGAAACCAACTATAGACCTGTCTCCATCTTAACCACGTTGTCCAAAGTGTTCGACAAAGTTATATATGATCAAATATATAATGCAAAGCCTCCTCTGCTGTCTCAAAACCTATCTGGATATATGAAGGGACATTCTTGCTCTACGGCTATTCTAAAAATGACTGAAGACTGGCGTGCTTATTTAGACATAAAAGATACTGTCATGACTGTTGCAGTGGATCTAAGCAAAGCATTTGACAGTGTCAACCATAATCTTCTTTTGTCTAAAATACAAGCTTACGGATTTTCAACCRCGGCTATAAAGCTTCTTCACGAATATCTAAAAGATCGTCATCAGAGGGTGAAAATAGATGGCACATACTCAGACTGGAGTCCGGTTACAGTCGGTGTACCACAAGGATCT